CAAGAGAAATGTTGCCCTATGGTTTGACTAAGATCTCCCTTTGATTTACAGCTAATAGTAGCTCTTTGCATTTAGACTCTGAGCTTGAGAGCAATGTTGATCAGGCAAGCTCCTCTCATTTTCTAATCATATACATAATCCAGGATCTCTCTTAATCAGTTTTCCTTTACAGAACAATAGTACCTTAGATGAAAAGGCTTTGCAAGATGAAGATGAAGCAAAGAGGAAAAATGTAAGTCACTTCAGAAAAATTGTACATCTGCCATCCATATCTGATCTAATTTATATTCCCTTGATTTCAATATGCCAGATGACTGTCACAGAACTTATTGAAGTTTATGAAGGGTGCATTTCGAGTCTACTAAAGACCCAATCTCGTCGTCGATTTGCTTCTTTAAAGCGGATTTCCCCTGCAAATTTCTCAAAAGAGGTATGTTTGGATACCCTGTTCAATTGAGTTGTTGTCACCAAAAAGAAAAAGAACGAATACGAAACTATTACCGATCACATTTTTGTGTTTCTTTCTTAAAAAATGTTGTTGCATAAGGTTTTTAGGGAAAAAAAAATTGTGTTCTTGCTGTTCTTCGAGTTTCGAATGAAACAAGAAATAAGAAACGGATAACAGGTCAACTCTTATATTTATAAGAGAGCATGGAACAGGAGTTGTTCCTTATTTTGCTGATTCTTTTGTTCCTCGGTACTTTCTTGCAGGCACGGCGTCATGTTTCTGATGCAGTTCTGCAGGAGATTAGAACACTCAATTATCTGGATGTGGATCTTTTTAAGTATGCTCAAGAAATTTTTGCAATGAGACAAGTACAACTAATGGGGAATCTTGATATGAAAGTGAGTCTTTTCAGTTCCTTCCTGGATTTGTGTAAGTTTTTCTTAATATTCGTTTAGATTTATGTGAGATCCCACATCGATTGGGGAGGAGAACGAAACATTCTTTATAAGGGTGTGGAAACCTTTCTCTAATATATGCGTTTTAAAAACCTTGAGGAGAAGCCCAAAGGGGAAAACCCAAAGAGGACAATATTTGCTAACGGTGGGCTTAGGCCGTAACAAATGGTATCAGAGCCAAGCATTGGGCAATGTGCCAGCGAGGACGCTGGGTCTCGAAGGGGGGTGGATTATGACATCCCATATCGGTTGGAGAAGAGAACGAAACATTCTTTATAAAGGTGTGAGTTTCCTCTCCCTAGCAGACGCATTTTAAAAACCTTGAGGGGAAGCCCGAAAAGAAAAACTCAAAGAGAACAATATATGCTAGCGGTAAGCTTGGGCCGTAACAAATGGTATCAAAGCCAAACACTAGGTAATGTGCCAGCGAAGATGCTGGCCCCGAAGGGGTGTGGATTATGAGATCTCACGTCGGTTGGGGAGAAGAATGAAACATTCTTTATAGGGTGTGGGTTTCCTCTTCCTAGCAGACGCGTTTTAAAAGCCTTGAGAGGAAGCCCGAAGGGGAAAACCCAAGGAGGACAATATCTGCTAACGGTGGGCTTGGACTGTTACGATTTCTCTTCCAACTTGAAATGTTTTCTTCATACTTATCTTCAAATAGACGAGTCTAACAAACCTGTTGCGATCTGATCACTCAAACCCGACCTCTACACACCAACAGTTATACAGCTTTACATTCCATAAAACATAAAACTCAGCATATAACAAATGAGGTGCAAGTTATCTGATGGTTTCTTATGCAAATGCATTTTTAAACTTGCAGGATGGTTCAGAAACCAAACTTGACCGAGCACGAGCCTTCGAGCTATGGAGAATTCCTTTGTTAGTAATGCTTTTTATCTTACTCCTTGTTCTCTTCCTACTTGCTAATGCTCGGAGAAGAGTATCTAAAGTTAAGGTATGATTGACGATTGACAATTGACTATTGACGATTTAATTTATCTTTGAAGCGGGAAAGCGAGCTTTTGAATCTCAGCATCTTCTTGTATTTTAATTGAACTAATAGTTTTGATCTTCAATCCTGTTGGATGAATTATTTATGGTTTCGCTTGCTTGCTTGATCATCGTGGCTTGAAAGGCTGAAACTTTGAAGGATTTGTGTAGGATATGCCTCCCATATGAGGAAGCTATCTCTTTTGATCATGCTTCTATTGCAAGAACTTCAATTTTGTGTAATGATGGTGAAGAATTCCTTGCATGCGTTGTATCGTTCGATTGAGGTTGGGGTAGATTGTTGTGCTTTGTATGGTCATGAAATCAATTTAGTTAGCTATCTCGTTCGATTGACGTTGGGGTAGATTGTTGTGCTTCGTATAGTCATGAAATCAATTTAGTTAGTTGTCTCGTTTGATGTATTATTGTGGTACTAAATGAATCGTTGATTCTCGCATAATTATGATTTTACCCTATATTTTATCCCGATGAGTGCATCGAGAGAGGAACTAAAAATTATGATTTTACCCTATATTCAACGAATTCGAATATGACAATAGACAACATTGAATAAGTTTTTTCACTTGCTAGGACTAGAAAAATGAAAGACATAGATTAAGTATTTAAAAATACTTAGTAGGTGACATTGTTAGAGTCGAGAGATGTAGTCACATTACTTTCTTTTTTTGAGTATGATAGGATGCATAATACTTCTCAACGCTCGGTACCTCAAAGCCTAATTATGAACTAGGACACACTTTTGTAGGAGCATGTATAATATTGTGATATGTTCGATTGTACATAACATATTGAAAAAGTAATCCATGCTCGTGAAACATTTAACATGCATGAGGTCCCACATTTAAAAAAACATGGTTAAGCATAATGATGTACATAATACTTTCATAGTTATAATGATGTGAATTTTTTATGAGATGTGCTTACATATTAGTGGTATTTCATACATGCTCTTCATATATGGTACGTCATTGTATCTCACTGAGCATAAACGTAGCAAACAAAATAAACAATTCAAAAAATACATGCATCACAAAAAAATCGGCTTGTCTCTATCATACCATTTTTTATCTTTAAGTACCACTGATTCTCTAATGAGCAATTTGTTTTCGATCTAATCATAAACTAAGTCCCTCTTGGGTCAATTAGAGGATGGAACCCATTGTTCAAGTCCCGAAACCAATACCTAAGAGAACAACTCATCATTTCAGCTCGTGATATTATGTTTAGTTCCCTATTTGGTCAAGTCCCCAAAATGTAGATACATTGAATAGACTACAAGAGTCATTTCCACCCATGTAAATCAAAGACAAGCCCTCATGTGCCAGAGTTCTTAACTTACTCATGATCATGATGTGAAATATTAATGTTTTTAATTAACAGATTTATGAAGAGAGATTAAAATGTTTCGTGGTTTAGTATTATATATACTCATGTATAGGATACCCCCACACACGTCTCCACATGAACGATTTGAATCAAATCATTTGTAACAATTACAAAATGAGTTGCATTAATAGTGTTACTCGTATAAAACACCAAAAACCCTTTAAGTTATTACTTAAACACTATCCTCTTATGTCAACCACATACTCTTAATATTAAATTGTAAACAAATATAAATTATTATTAAAAATTAAATAATTAATTACGAGATTTTAGAGTATAAATCTCAATAGCTTAGACTAACTCGGGTCCTAATAGTTCATGCTCGCCTACCTCATACAATATTGACAATGTACCGGGGCCTAACTTTAGTCCCAATGTACCAAAGATATGCATTATTTCATAAAGAGTTTCAAACGGTGCCATGTCAACTGTTTATTGAAAACTGTCATTATAAGTGAACTTGAGGCATGCCATGCAAACTTTGTGACTCTCTTGATGATCACCCATATCACAACCCACAAAGCTATATTTTTCTATTTATACTATGAAACGTTTAAATGTTGCAATAACTACGTCGTTAGGTGTCTTTGTTGACCAATTGGCCAACGGCATTATTTACTTACGATATAGAAAAATGGTGACTTCGGTTGGGATGAACACTAAACGTGCTTGACAAAGAATTTGTTGTCCTAGGATCGTCATAATCCAACAACTATGTCACATAGCTTTAACTACGTTCACTAACATTCTCTTTTATCACAATTTTAACTCAATCAAAACAAAAAAACGATCCATTAAAAAACTATTTGAATTTGTTTGGAATTGATTCTAGGATAAATTATAAATTGACCATGGTATTTGAATTTGTTTGGGATTGATTCTAGGATAAATGGACTAAAATTAAGTTCCTTTGAATAACCAACAAGCACAGTATTATTTGGAATGTCTATGTTCTAGTTGGATGAAATTGTTCGTTGTATAAATGATAGGTACATAAGTTTCTTTTAGTGTTATTATTATTGATATGATTATACTTATATTATGTGATGCATGTATGAGGCACATGAATGAATGATACTGTATTATATAGTTTCACAGTAATGATACAAGGATGTATGTTAGCCTTTGCATCATCCTACGATAGCATAATTTTATATGTGAGACCTCATACAAGTTGTATGTACATTGATTATAAATTACTTCAAGCATGGTTGTACGAACATATTTATATATAATTTTGAGTTCTACTTCTTCGTGGTTCGACTGCACAAGAGTATGCAAGCCCACATGTACGTCTAATATTTATGAAGTGGTATTGTGCCTAGTGAGTCTATATGACAGTGGATCCAAACCATCTCGATAATAAAATTATTTCTTAAGGTAATAGGCACAACTTAGGTCTCATTTAACATAAACTATAGTTATATGTGCTTGCATTTTTCGACACCAACAATTGGGTCACTTACTAAGCATTTCGAATTGCAATGGCAAGCATCAAACATTTTAAAGGAAGAAAGAGAAGTTCATGGTTGACCATGGATACACTAAGAATATCATCAATAACTCATCCAGTTTTCAGCCGCCTATTTTCTAAGCAGGAAATCGGCAGCATCATGCCTATTCTTGTTGAGTTGATAGTTAAAATAAGAATAACAACAAAGAACATGGGAAAGATTTGGAACGAACGGAAACGCTGTTAATGATAAATAATGAATCGATCCTTCATTCAAAAAGATGATAATGTTGATACATGGACTGTATAACATCAGGCACACACATTACAAACAGCTCCTAATATCAGCAAGCTCTTTGATATTCCAAAAATAAGGGGAATCAGGTAACCAATCACTAAAATGATGGCATGTTTTTCTCAAGTAAATGATCTAAAAGGAAGCATATTTCTTCTTGAGGCAATCAATGTGAGTTCATTTTTTTTTTTATTTCAGCCAGATCATGAAAACTCAGGTTGGTTCTCCATGCATAAACAAGGATAAGATAATCATGAAAACTCTGAGATTTCTTGCTAAAAAAATGATTACAGCGCACCTTTGTTACACAGATACACCTTTGATCCCACCGAATAGAAAGCTTGCTAGTGCTTCTTAAGCGCGTTCATTTTGTCCCTAAGATAGTAAAGCTTAGCCCTCCGCACTTTCTTCTTGTCCAAAACCTTAATTTCTTTTATGTTTGGTGAGTATCTGTCATGCATCACCCACTTATTTAGTCATAAGCAAAGTGCTATCAGAAATAGACATGCACACATATGTATGTTCATATTAATACGACAACTTCAACATGTGTGATCGTAGCGTTCATCATGTTCTAATACGTTTGTATCAGATTTTTAAATCAGCATTACTTACAGAGGGAAGAGGGATTCAATCCCAACTCCAGCAACTAGCCTTCTTAATCTAAAAGTTGTGTTGAGACCTGCATTTCGTCTTGCTATTACAATGCCTTTCAACGTTGAGACACGTCGCTTGTTCTCAGGTACTTCCTGTTCACACAAGACAGCAAAAGCCAGAAAATTGTTCAGTAACCTCATCTACAACTGCTGATATAGTATTCGACTGAAATGAACTCTACCACTTTGAGCTGCACAATATAGCCTGACTTTATATCTGGAATTTCTCTCTGTGCTTTTACCTCCCCAAAAGCTTCCTTATCTAAAATCTGTGGGGAAAAGAAAACAATATATCGAAATCAAACAGACGGGATGATAAAATGAAATTACTTCTTTTCCAAAAGTACTCAGAAATGCAAATACCTGCATAATGTGTTTTGAGGTTTTATCAAGCCACTTAAATTTGATGCGAGTTATATCAGAATCAACTGTGGGAGATCCTTGTGGAGACGATTCCGTTGAACTTGTCATAGCAATACCCCTGCTAGAAAAAGGAGCTGCAATTTCTGCCAACTGATATGAATGTGGCCTAAGACTTTGGAATGCTGAACAAGATGAAGATATATGATTGCCAGAAGGCACAAATTCCATTTGAGAGCCCATACTTCTCTGCTACATAGTTGATAAATTGTTACAAAGTGATATATTCCAAAACAGACTCTTGAATAACAAGATACTGCTTGCAATGAGTACCCACAAACCAACAGAAAAATCATATATACAATTTTCTGAAATCATTTCTCACGAAGATAGTTGATAGTTGATAGTTTTTTCTGTTTTTCCTATTCTTTTCTTGTGAATACTAAACCAGCAATATATATTGCAAGAAAAGAAGTAGATAAGAAGAAGAGAACCAATTTCCATAGATGCCAAGGAAATTAATGAAAGGCTCTTCAATTGGCAAGGATCATAGAAGCAAAGAGCTATAACCACATTTTTTTTTTCCCTTGAAAAGGGACATCAGCTCGACTTGAGCTAATTATTTTTCGGACTAATTTGTTGTAAAGGAAAATAGGATACATGATAACTACGTGTTCGATACAACAGTGAAGTTCATAGTTCTGTTGATTTAGCCATAACTGAACTCAGAAGCCAGTTCCAGCAAATGTACTCACCTCTACGTCACTTTATATCAATAAGACATTTAGCACCAATCCCATCTGGTCGGTATTAGAGACACGTACATAATGTACATAATTGATAAGTTACTATACATATTACCCGCTCCCCTGCCGTCAATCAGGTGTCGGCCAAGACTGATATCATGAGATTTACTTGTGCCTCATTGCTTATGAACTCAAACAAGAAGCATAAATGAATTCGTAAAAGCTTGGAATTTGAACTAGACTAAATGTCGCAAATTATATATGTATAAAACCAAAGTAGATTTACTGAATGGCTATAGAACCTTTGAAAACAACAAGGACATATCATACTACATAATGCACAAAATATTTAAACAAACAGAAATACATACAAAGGCTTCCGGATATTGATTGCCCAACCTCGAGAAAGACCTCAAGAGGGAACCACTCAAAGACCCATACGGATTCCCAAAACTACATTCCATCGACATTGGCGCCGAGCAGCTACAGCCAGCGTCCCCATTTAGAGGATAACCTCTAATCAATTTGAAATGAACATCGGGACTTTGCCTTCGCACCAATTGATTAATTCTGCGAAAACCTTGCATCTTCGCACTTGATTTCCAGTTGCATAACCCACAGAAAGTCCATGAGCGATAAGTAATCGAAAAAAAGCCTTCATATAAATGTTAGAAAAGTAGCAGGTGAGCAGGAACATGGAAATGAAGCAGCGTATAAATATTGTAGCTTAACTGCATATTGCGGTGATCAAGTTCGCTTGAAATGTCGGAGCTTATTCTAGATCACCAGTAAACACAAAACTCGAATCAGAATGTCCCAATTTGCCGCAAGGAATTTATACAACTCCATTCATACACCAGTTCTAATTTGTGATTTTCAATTGAGAAGAAAGACCGTGGAGATTGGGAGAATACCAGTAACAGCAAGAGAAAATCAGCGCAAACTCGCTAAAAGAGGGAGGCTGCGGCGGCACGAGCGGAAGAAAGAGGCGGTGGCAGCAGTGAACGGTGGAGGACGCTGCCGGCTACACTGAGCTGCTGAAACGGAGGAGGTGACGGCGTTGAGGCAGATGAAAAGAGTTATATAATTTTACAAATTCATTAGGGCTTTCTGCTTAAACTTGAAGTTAGAAATATAAAATCTCAAAAAATATGTTATTCCTAGATGTTCGTGGTGGTTCGAAGCCTCAAAAAGTGGGTCATTACACGTTTAATATCAAAGTCTTAGATGGGTGCCGGTATAAGCTAGGTCTAGATAGAGAGTCATGAATTCCTGATATCTTGCATTAGAAATGTTTCATCACAGTCATGTAAGTATTAACCGTTTGATCAAAGTTATAAGATGATTTGATTGAATGGAGAAGTATGTCTTGGGATTGATCGACTTTAATGAAGGGTAAGAATTGATTTTGACCCAAGATGAGTTTGACGATGCTAGATAATGACGCCCAAATTAGAAATCGTACAAAGCAAGGTCAAGATAGGAGAGGAAGGAGAACCGCTAAAACTAACCCTACCTTCGAGGTTCCAAAAAGGGAGGCTCCACAAGAGTGGGAGCCAAAACGAGTAGCACCCATGATTGAGAACGTTGGACCCTACAATTGTAGAGTCATGGTTGAAAGCAGCGGAGATCAGTGTGAGTAAACCCTCAAGATCTAAATAGAGAAGCCAAAGGAGGTGTAGGGCAAGGAAGGGGCACAACCCGATTGACCATCGTCACAAGAGTGGATGATACACATATAATGGTGATAGGATCATGAATCATTAGAGAAATAGGCAGAGTCCACTCGACGTGCATCCTTTCAGAAATCTGAGTTTATTGCACGTATTAGCTTGCAGGGGTGCGCACAGGCTTTCAAGTGCCACAAAAAAGGGACTAACGAGACTCAATGTTATAGTGCATGAGATAATCGATACTAGATCCAACGGACTATGAACGCTCAAATACTTATGGACACATCATCGAAGAGGAACTAGAGTCAACAATTTAATGCCTAAGCATTAAGCCTATATGTCCATGTGTCATATGCTAAAACAAGCCTAGGCAACGACCGACTATTTACCCTTTTGCTTCGACATCTACGTGCTCTTGGCATCAGTCTATGGGCTACCCATTCGACCTGTTTTGAAACACGGACTAAGGAGTTTGACATGTGTGTGCATTAACGGGTGGGTAAACTCGTAAGGCGCAAGAAACCTGATTAATGAGATCCTCTCACCACCGTTTTATATTTTATTTTTTATTTATAATAAATTTAGAAACTTTTTTGTCAGTCAATTCCCAAACTAATCCCTTATTGATCGGCCATCGCCGAGCCGAACGTTCTTCTTCTTCGTCGCAAAATTTCAAGGATAGGAATCTCAGTTCTTCTCTCCCGCCAGATTCCCAGTAGAACAACATAGATTTGATTTCCGCATATGGCTCCTTGAGATCCTCTTCAGTATCGGAGAATCAGAGGTTCAGAGAGTGAGACGTCCACGATTCCGGCCGTGGCGGAGGAGAAGACGACGATGCGATTGGGGAAGAGACGATGAGCTGAGGCATCGCATCGTGGAGAAATGAATGTGAGCCATGCGACGGTTCACCCGGCCGAAGATCCCCCTACTACCGACGGCGCGAATGCGCCCATGGTCAGGATGAAGGACATGGAAGGAATGCCCGGCACCCGCGGAGGACTCGCTTTGCGATTCTTTCAGTTTCTATTTGCGGCGGCGGCGCTGGTTGTCATGGCTACTACCAGTGATTTCCCTTCTGTTACGGCCTTTTGGTAAATCTCATTTTTCCTCGATTGAACCTTTCTCTCTGAACTTGCGTTTCGTACAACTTTGTTCTCTATTTCTTTGGAAGGATAAGGCGATTTGTTATATTAGTAGCTTTTGGATTCAGGATTCGTCGGGTTGGATCTAATTTTGCAGGAAATGGATTTAATTCTGCAGTGAAATAGATTCATTTACTTCGTTTTAATTGGATTTGCTACGTGCCCACGCAATCATGATCGAAGTTTCAGATAAGTTAAGCCCGAATTTTGGAGCCAATGACAAGCATTCTGTAAAATACATCGATTGGTTGTTGATGGTTCAATACACTGAAGATGCAATAAACTCGATCAGATTGTTGTTAGCTTTGTCGTCTGATAATAGTCATTTCTTATATGGTTGATCCCAGATTCATTGGCATTAGTATCTTTTTATCCTTGGAATTAAGTTTAAGGTTTATCTTTTTATCATTTACTTCATCTTCAAGTTCTTAGCTCGTGTATATGAATCTTATGCTTATTGAAGCTATGAAAAGATAAATTTGCAGCTTGATTTTCTACGCTTGGTCTTTATGTGCGTGCTGTTCCTTAAACAATCAAATCTTCTGCCTTTTCAGCTATCTTGTTGCAGCAGCTGGTTTGCAGAGTTTGTGGAGCCTCTTTTTGGCCTTCATTGATATATATGCTCTATTAGTGAAGAGATCCTTACAGAATTGCAGGATAGTCAGCTTATTCACTATTGGTGATGGTGTATGTTTATAGCAAAATTTTGATTTTGGCATCCGTAGATTCACTTTTATGTTCTTCAATATTCTGGAAGCTGATTGCTTTGCTGCATTACTAGTTAGCTCAACACCAATTTTCTTGGACTGGATTAATGAAATTAATGTGTTTTAGCATGTTAACTTTAAAGCCTGGTGGTATTCTTTTAGGTGAATTGGACTTTCGATTGTTGTTTCTTACATCAAGTTATTTACTGATATCACTCTCTGTTGCTGTTGCATATAAAACTATCATGATTGCAATCATTCTCATACGATAATAATTGAATACTTAGAGGTCCCTTTAGAACTCGCACAATTTCGGCTGTCATTTTCTTTCGATCAATTATCAATGATGCACCTTTCCTGACTTGTCTGTAATTTCACTAGCCTAGCAGCTGACACCTGAACTTTTTTCTCTTCAGATCACATCTACCCTCACATTCGCTGCAGCTTGTGCTTCTGCAGGCATCACTGTTCTTATAGACAACGATATCGGTAGCTGCAGCGAGAACCACTGTGTACAGTTTGAAACTGCAACGGCCATTGCATTTATTAGCTGGTTTACTGCGTTGCCTTCGTTCTTCATGAACTTCTGGTCTCTTGCATCCCGATGAATTTGGCTTGGCTCTTTTTAGCTAGTTTACTGCGTTGTCTTCATTCTTCATGAACTTCTGGTCTCTGCATCCCTATGAATTTGGCTATCAAACTTGAAAGATATTGTTACTGTTTCTTGCTGGTTTATGATGTGATGTTTTGTAGATGTCCTGAAATTGAATCTTGTAATGCCAATGTTCAGAATTTGTAGTTAAGGTGATAAATATGGGTGCTTTGATTTGGACGTTGGTTCATCACTTGATCATTCATTATTGCACTATCTGATGGCAATGAATCACATACAAACACAAATATTGTAAATTTACTTTGGATTTTGGTTTCAGCAATTCATCAACATTTTCCATTCTTATCATTCAACAAAAGAATTTGATATCAGAAAGTTTCCCCTGCCAGATACATCATTATACTTCAAACCCCAGGCAGATATATAGATAAGATGTTACATAATTGAAGAACCCCTTCCTATTTTCTAGGACTGTTGCATAATTTTCAACAAGTGTACAGGGAAAAGAATCACAAGAATGACCAGTTGACGAGGGAGAAGGCAAGACAGTGTACAGTAGACTCGTCCTCGGTAAGAACTTTCCATACAACGGCTTGTTCAAAGGATACATGTCGCCCCATTGTCGACATGCAAATTCCAGCAGGAATGTAAGCAAAGCCCTACCGAAAACAAGTAAGTATTCAGTTCAGTTAGCATCATTACATCGTTAATCAATCTTGAAATAGTAAGTCATCATAAGTTTTCTTTATGCAGCGTAAACACCCCAGCCATGTCAAGTCGAGCACGACAATGAACTGAAGGGAAGAATATAATACGAAACCTGGTGCATTAAGCTGGAAAAATCAGTAGAGAAGGCCTTGCGGGCAGAATCGCCAAGAATTTGATCCAAAGTGATGTCTTGTAAGGCAACCTAGGATATCTTCAACATGTCAAGGCCTGCTTGGTTAGCAAACATGAACACTGGGGGTAGTGACTGCAAACCAACAAAATAAATTACATTGCTTAGAGGACAGCCACACAACACAGATATTCATTTGGTTCTCACTTGCAGAGTTTGTTTATTCACCTCAAGGGAACAGCACAGAATTGCATCCTGATGCTTTCATAGGCGTTTCAACACTGATTCACCATCCACACTCTCTGAAGGCACCAGTTCAGTTCCAGTATGGCATCTGTGAGACAGAGAGGTATGGAGTCAAGTTTATATTTTTATGGCTTATTATCTTAAATTCGAAGGGTAATTTTCTTTGATGGGTGGTTTCCTAAACGGGAGAATGATTTTTACCTTCAATGGGTAGTTTTCTGAGTTGGTAACTGTGGTAACTGTAGCTATGGCAGATCCAGTGAGCCTGTGTGAGAGCTTCTGGACAAGCAGATGATCGCTTTGGCTCCGATGATGAGCTTAATCCTGAGGGCTTAAGGCTAAATTTCTTTGCGATTCTATGTAGTTTAGGTAGCATGTTTAGAATAATTCAAACTAACACGATCATGTGAAGTGATTCTAACCTCAATTAAGTGTTCTTGACTTGAGATATTTGATCAAAATAGTAATTTGAATCTTACTTTCCCTTAAAGTGATTCCTTATCACTAGGGTTAAGTGTTCTTACCTTTCCTTTAACCAAATGCTAAATTTATTTGCAATTTTATATAGTTTTGGTTGCATGTTTAGAATTATTCAAGTTTGACATGATCGATCTTGCTTGTAGAGTGATTCTAACTTCCATCAAGTGTTCTTGACTTAGATATTTGATCAGCAAGCTAATTCGAATCTTACTTTCCCTTCCCTTAAAGTGATTTCTTATCATTAGGGCTAAGTGTTCTTACCTGATCAACTAGGTGATTCGAATCTTATTTTCTCTAGGAGGGATTCCTTCTCATTAGGGCTAAGTGTTTTTTACTTTTCCAACAAGTATTCTTGCTTTGGGATACTCGATCAATAAGGTAATCCGAATTTTACTCCGCTTGTAGTGATTCTTTTATCATTTGATATTACGACTCTATTAAACAAAACAAAAAATAAATTTTCATACATATTGAGATGAGATTGAAAGGCATTTAGAAGTGGGGAGGAAAGAGAGAAGAAAAAAGAGCATTGATTTAATTATTTGGTTATTTCATCATAGGATTTAAAATACTTTTATTTTCTTCCTTTCCCATTTTGACCCTTCCCCTTCCACTGCGAATAATTTTATTTTTTAATTTTTTAATTTTTTTAATTTTTTAATTTTATATATTCATTTTGGGTCTTAATTAATAATTAATAGGTTTTCCTCAAAACTTGTGCCCTTTTTTCAAATGGTTATTTCTTACGAGTTTATTTATTTATTATACAACAAAGTCTCTTTCATAAGTCATAAATTTTTATTTTATTAAATATATTTTAAAAAATTATTGAATTCATGAAAAATAAGTCTGACAAAAAAAACAAGAATAAAAACCAACAAAACTAAAATTAAAATTCATAAATTTATTAGATATTTTTTTCTCAGTTCTTCAAATTTAAGTTTTTAAAAACTATATTAAATATTATATTATATTTTTGGTTAGGATATATTATTGAATTTATTAGGATGTTTTATATTTTTTAATAGAAATTATATTGAAAGATGGAAAAAAAATTGTTCTTAAAAGAACCCAATTTTCTTAAATTCTTCGAAAATCTCCACTTCAATATAGACATAACCTTAAAAATTTAGAAGCCAAATCCATTTTTATATATTAAAAATGAAATACTTATTAGTTGGTTGTTAAATTTTGTGTTTAAATAATAATTTTAAAATTATAAGAAAACTCCTAAAATATAATTTTCCCATGTCAATTTAGAATATAAAATAAAGTTGAAACGAGATTGGAACAAATACTTTTCAAACGGCGGACCTAAAACAATTTGGACAAGATCCGCAATATAAACACATACATATATATATGGGATGTCTACTAGAGATGTTGTGTACACAACTCAAGCCCACCGTTAGCAAATATTGTTCTTTCCTTCAAGGTGCCCACCGTTAGCAGATATTGTCCTTTCCTTCAAAGTTCTCAAGGTTTTTAAAACGTGTCTGCTAAGAAGAGATTTCCACGCCCTTATAAAGAATATTTTGTTCTCCTATCCAACTGAGGTGGGATCGTGTTATTGCACCCAAGGGCTCCCCAAGGGATCATCGAGATGATCTTGGGATGCAGATTAGAACAGAGTTCTTGGAGAAGATGGGATAGCATGCCCAAAGATACGAATATATAAGTACATAAGTTGACACAGTCGCTGTTGAAATGGCATTGGGATGCTGATACTAATTTTTCCACCTCTCAACAACTCGAGTTTTTAACAAAACGGGGCGAAAAAATAAGAAAAGAGAAAAGGTTGACACTCAAAATAAGATGCAGACAAGAAGAGAGAACCTAACTTTACTGCAAAACCATACGACAATCTCCCCTATGTGGTCTCTTTCTAATGAATCACCTCATCAAATTTTGAGTTCTTCCAGATTTTCTAATGTCTTGGTTTCTTGCCGACTGTTCACCAATGTGGTTGTATCCTGTTCTACTTCAGCAGGTGACTCAGTGGGCGGTGTGGGCACGGGCGCAGGAGCAGCAAGGTTTTCTTTAGGAGCAGTTGGGGCTGGACAGTCTTCTTTTTTAACTGCAGGAGCATTTTCCTTGCGCACTGGGGGAGCAGCAAAGACAGGAATTGCTTGCCTAATGGAAACCGGTGGGGCGATCCGTACCGGTGGGACTCGAATTACTTGCTGTGGTGGTAGCTTCAATGGCTGTGGTAGAGGAGGGGCAGAATACACAGGCATTGTTGTTCTAATTGTAACTGGTGGGGCAATGCCATGGCAAGATGTCCTATACTGGTGAACGGGAATATACGAAAGAGCAGCAGCTCCGGCACTGAACTTCTGGGGGCGGGGGGTTGCAGAGCCTTCTAGTGCAGAAGTTTGGGCATGTGGGATGGGGATTTTATTTGCTGAAAAGGGAGCTCTGCTACGAGGAGCTGCTTTTTGGCAAATTAAGGGCAGAATCTTTGATGTTGGAGCAGGGGGACGTTGGGGACTAGTTGGCCGTGGACTTTGAATTTGAAGCTTTTTGGGGAATGGTATTGTTGCATTTGGATTTGACATTGCCATTTTTTCCTTTTGGCGATAATTCAATAAGGCTCGAGCTATAGTGATCTGCTCCAGTTCATCATTGTTTTCTGGTTCTGATGAAGAGCTTGCTGATTCTTTAGCCACTAGCCAAAATCAAAAACAAAATGTTTTCTCAACACCAGAATATTTGATTTTTTAAGCAAGGCAAGAAGCAGATTAAGAACAGGATACTTTGCTTCCAGAGGAAATAATGGCTCTATAATAAAGAACTTTCCCATAAACATATCACAGAGAAACCATTAGAATTTAATCTCCATGTTCCGCTTGCATACATTAATTTGCACAAAATAAGATGGGGTTATTCTTTCTTTGTGAGGATATCGTTGAAATTGTTCGTTTGGAAATTTCCGAAAAGCTAAGCCATGGTAACATACAAATAGTAAAAAATAGAAATAGAAATAAAAACTCACATTGTTTTAATGATGACCAAGCTGCCATTGCAGCATTCTTCTCTGCTTGTTTTTTATTCTTGGCAGGTTCTCCAGTAAACGTTATTCCAGCCAATTCTACTATCCCTGTAAAAACAGGTAGGTGACCAAGACCTGATCTGAATGTTGTATACTGAGGCAATGGCGCTCCAACTCTTTGGGCAATTTCCTGCAGGAGGTTCTTGTAAACCCCTGTCTCATCCTGATCATAGGTGATTACAGTAAGTAATTAAACTAAAAATCGGCCAAGTTAGCTCATGCATATATCATAGCAGCATCTTTGATTCATATCAAAACATTTAACAGACCAAAGAACAACATCAAAAGAGAAAAGTTGACAAATTCTATGCCCAAGAGGGATTAGTAGATTTCAGGAATCTTTTCTTTTACTATAATCAAATGCTAATATCTTGTATGCATTTTACTTTTCAGCAGATAGTGTACAAGGAATAAAAACATGTATGGATGCATGTCATGTTATCAATTATTCATAATGTACTTCATGTTCTCAGCAGTGTTTAAACCTAGAAATACGTTACATATAAATAATAATTTCATTTGAGAGATCTGCAGCCCAGAGAACTATACTATCTTCATCATCAATAATACTTCCAAATTGAAGAAATCTGCAACTTAAGTTTTTATGGCTCCATTGATCAATTTCTAAGGTGCAACAAGTTTTCTCACTCTTTAATAAAAAGAGCAGAGCAGATTCCATTTGACCTGAGGTAATCTGAAGTTGAAGCTCACAAGCATCATAATTCGATTTGTAATGCCTCTACTGTCTAAAACTGAATTCAATTGAATTCTAAAAGGTACATTTCATAGTTTTTTCTGTGATGCTGCATACAAATAATAAGCTATCTAAGCTCCAACTCTTCCATACTAGATCATTAATCTGTTGTTTTGCATAGTAAAACTCCATAAAATGGAATTGTTATTCATCAATCTTACCCACCAGGCCACCACTTAATCGTTAGAGCTTTATTTCATGGCCACGTCTTTTCGGATTAAAGATCCAAAGTTGCAATTTGAAGTTTACAAAAGTGAAGTAGTTTAAGAACATGGAAGCTAATAGTGATATCAAATATCAGGTACATTCTTTAATTTCAAAAGATATTGTTTCCTATTTTTGAAAGTTAAGTTAACCGAAGGGTAAGAGAATTGAAACATAGTTAACAAACCTCAAACCAATTAAACTTTATTAAATGAGTTATTACCAGCCAAAAAAGAGAAATAAAGATAAAGTATGTAAACAAGGCAATGAAAAAATAGTATGTGCGCCTCAGAGACCAACAGAAACAAAATATTTGATATTTTGAGCATCTTAACACAAACAAATCCTCATTAACAATCACTAGGGCGATACCATAGAACCTAGAGTTCCATAGGTGTAACAGCCCAAGCCCACCACTAGCATATATTGTCCTCTTTGGGCTTCCCCTTCTGGACTTCCCCTCAAAGTTTGAAAACGTGTCTTCTGGAGAGATGTTTGCACACCCTTATAAGGAATGTTTCATTCCCTCTCCAACCGATATGGAATCTCACAATAGGACATTCATCTTATTGGAACATAACGACATTCATGGAAAAGTAACCCCCAAATCAACCCTCGAAAATTCCTCATCTCTCTCTTCAAACACCAAGATAAACAAAGGTTTTTAAAACACAATAAAGTTGACAAAGACACATGCACGCATTTCCTCGAACGGCAAAAGGAGAGAAATAAAATTAAAGAACAAAGAAGAAAAGCTTAGTCAAACAATTTGTACAAAAACGCGGGGAGGAGTAATTACATGAAATTATTGAATATACCCAAGTTTTAAAGCCTCCAAGACTTCTATGAACAAAAATAATGGACACAACCTCCTAAATTCTAATTGGTCTACTTGAATCATCTCTATCTGAAATTCAGCCTCCAACAAGTTTATCACAATTGGTGTTGAATTCATGGTCCGTGCCGTTTCTACGATACCCATCTGGTCATTTATGAGATCGGAGAAATAAAATGGGCCAAAGTTGGGAGCTACCGAAAACACAATTGGACGACCGACAAACCCATTAATGAGCAAATTAATTACACCAACTTGCCCGAGAAGATTACTCCCGACAGCTGGCTCCGAGATAATAAGGTAAACAAAACTAGATACCTCCTCTAATGGAACGGACCCTCAAAGAGGCGTCACGAGTTCACACTTTTCGTTCAAACACGACCCTAAACCGTAGGTCCAGTCAAGAGAATTCCGGCCGATCAGAGAGATCCGAAGATCATAACATAATTTAAAGGAAAAAAACCCAACCCAATCCAGGGCACAACGAGCAGAACAAGCATCTCTTTTAGATCTTAGTTAACCCACCGACCGAGATATTCAAGGATTAAGCACTACAGGTACGATTGTGCAATTTCTGTGTATCCTATCTTACTGGAAATGATAACAGGAAACTCAGAGGAGAAGAACACGAACAAAATGCACAACGAACACTAACATAACAAAAAACCTAAAGCAAATCTCTAACGTTCTCAACTCGCACAAGCAAATCCTACTGCAAACAGTAACATCAATTCATTCAATAAAACACAACCGAGAAATGAAGATCAAGCAGAGAAGCAAGCCGAGACACAAGAGCAAAACCTAAACACAACCATATGATCAAAGTAAAAAAGGACTCACCAGGATCCTAGCTGCAAGCGAATGAGGGGGACCACGGTTAGAGAGTGCGTTCAAAGCGACCTCGGCGGCGGAGTGCTCGGCCTGACGAAGAGTAGAGCAGTACTGAGGGCATTCAAAGATCTCGCCATTGAAGTTAACAGTAGCTTTAAACCTCGGCGCATGGTCTGGTCCTTCCCTAATGCAGGCATACGAGGGAAGATTGAAGCAACTTCTCTGCGCCAGCTCTTGAAGCTGGTTCTTGTACATTTCTACTCCGATTCAGTCTCAGCTCCGCCTCACTCCTCTCCTCAGTTCACAAATTTACCTCCTCCCCCCTCCTCAAATAAGGCTTTACACAGAAACCAAAAACCCTAGGCCAGATCCGATCCGCCGTAATCTGTCAGAAAAATCAAAACCACAGAAGAAGAATCTCACCGTCGTCGGTGACGGAGATGAAAATCCGGCGAGATCAAAGGTTTTCAAGGGTTTTTTTTCCCTTCACTTCCAGAGAGAGAAAGAAGAGAGAGAGAGAGAGAGAGCCCTGAGGCTGGTTCGTGAGACAGAAAGGGAAGAGAGAGAAACAATAATTTTCTTAGCGGAAAAAAAAAATTAAAAAAATTAAATTAAATTTATTTCTTATTTTTTTAATTTGTCTTATTTAGAATAATATTATATTGTGGAAATTTATATAATTTAATGCTTCTTATTTTTTTGGAGTCAACTGGAACGTTATTTTAATTTATTAATTAGTAATTAATTGTTTATTAAGAATAAATCATTAATTTTTATATACTAAGCACGTGCCCTCACTAACACTGTACAGATAGACATAATAAAGACAATGGGATTATTAAGAGATTTATATAAATTTGATTTTTGTCTCAAAATAAAATATATTTACTTAAAAATATTTCAATAATAAATACATTTTTTTAAATAATAAGGTAATATTTATCTCAAAAATACAATTTTGGTATTATTTCATGAATACCTTTTAATTTTTTTAAAAAATTTAAAAATATTTTAAAAAGTTAAAAAAATATTTATTTTTACTGATAGTATCAGTTTCAAAAATCAATATTAAAAATTTTAAATTTTTTTTTTAAAGGTTAAAAGATGTTAATACTCATTTAAAATTTTATGGATATTTTTTACCGAAAGATATTAATTTAAAAATATTTTTTAAATAAATAGTTAAATATTTTTATCCAAAACTAATAAATATATATTTGAAAAGTCTTATTGAAAATTTTAAAATGGAAGGATATTTTTATTAATTTAGTCTAAATTTAATTTAATTTTTGTGAAATGACAAAAATGCCCTTGATTTAATGTCTATTGTGTTATTTTGCTTATAAATATTGCTTTCTATTGATTTATTTTGGTAAATTTAGTCTTTTAATTTTTAAAATTTTTAAAATTCATATACACAAAATTAAAATTTAAATTACAAAAGACATAAAAAGATTGAATGGTTAAGATTAAGTTACCTCGGATGAATATTGAATTTTGTGTCTATTTCATCTCTGAATTTTCAAACGTGTCTAATATTATTTTGATACCAAATAATAAGGATTCATTAGAAGGGGAGTAAGATTCAGATTACTTTATTGATCGAATATCTTGATACAAGAACACTTGTTTGAGATTCAGACCACTCCACAAGTAATATCGATCATATCAAGCTTGAATGATTCTACCTGCAACATAAACTATATAGTAAAGTTGAGGAATATTTTATAAATGAAAAATTTAAAAAAATGAATGTGATGGAACAGTAGGTAAATTAATTAAAAAAGAAAAAAAAAGGTTTGGTTGAAACTATAGGGCCCATTTTGCAAAGATATCCTCCTACCACCATATCAAAAGATGCAACCACTTTGAAAGCTAGTGGAGATAAAAAGGTGGAAAGATATCAAACCTACAAAATGCCCTCTTTCCATTCAAATCTTTCAAATTTTTGTATATATTTCATTTCGATCCTTCTAATTTTAAATATTTAAATTTAGTCTCGGTCCAAAAGTTCGTTTGTAACGACCAAGACCTGCTGATAGCAGATATTTTCCTTTTTGGACTTTCCCTTTTGGGTTTCCCCTCAACGCTTTAAAATGCGTCTGCTAGTGTGGGACATCACAATCCACCTCGCCCTCAGAGCCAACGTCCTTGCTGGAGGATACTGACACTCTTCCTTTCTCCAATCGAAATGAGACCACCACCAAATCCACCTCCCTTTTGGGCCCAGCGTCCTTAACTAGCACACCGCCTCGTGTCTACCCCTCTTGGGAAACAACGAGAAGGCTGACACATCCTTTAGTGTCTGGCTCTGATACCGTTTGTAACGACTTAAATCCACCGCTAGTAGATATTGTCTCACATTGGTTGGGGAGGAGAACAAAACATCTATAAGAGTGTGGAAACGTTCCCCTAGCAGACACGTTTTAAAGCCTTGAGGGGAAGCCCGAAAGGAAAAACCCAAAGAGGACAATATCTGTTAGCGGTGGATCTGGGCTGTTACATCGTTATAATACGATCTCAAAATATGAGACCCAGGAAAAAGCTGGTCAAACTTAAATAGGATATGATAGCTTCTTTATGTTCTAACATTCTTGCCGATACAATATCCAATCCAAGGTCTAAAAAATATTTTCCTTTTTTCGGGAATATCAAACAGTGAAAAGAATTTCTCAATGTGCATAAGCGCTCACACTAACCCACCGCTCCTATTTGCATGGTAAAAAGCAAAGAAATAAAGGGATTCACAAATTCTCCTAACCTAGAGTTCGTAGTAATAGGTTCTATAGGAGCTGGACAATCCTCTTTAGTTAAATTAGGAGACTTGGGCAAATTTTTGGAACAAGGACCAAGCATTGAGAGCCCTTCAAACTCGAGATATAAGCTATTAGTTTATGTATATAGTGCTCACGAATTTCAATTCGTGACCTGCAATCAACCCTTTGCTTTAAAATTTGTTCTTCCTCTAGAGTCATTCTCGTTGGATTAAACCTATTTCATTATCTTCGTACCATTGAGATGAATATTTTTCATGAAAAAGTCAAGGTCTGAGGAAGTTTGGATCGAGCTACCTAATAAGAGGTAAAATCACATGAATTTGAACCAATAAATCGAGAAATTTTACCTCAAAATTAGAACACACAAAAATTTGTCCTTCAATATCCCTTCCATTTGCTTCAAGATTAGAGGAAGAGTTTTGGTGAAGGAATTGAGAGATGATATGGACGATAAATGCCCAAATAGAGAGCAAAATTTTGTAGGTTAGCTTCGACGAAAAGTTAGTTTCTAAGGGTATAAAAATCGTCATCTCACTCTATTGGAGGTTGAGAATGATGACGTTGCTAATTTAGTTGAACTGACGGTCATCCCAAACCAAACCATCCTCACTATTTTATTTATTTTAGCCTCAAATAGATTGGTTCTCATTTACTTCTTTTGATTCCTTAAAATAGACGTGATTTGGACACTTGAAGTAACCCTAAATGTTATTGAACAAGTGAGTAACCGACTTTTCTCAAGTTTACGGGTAGGAATTGCATGAAAATGAACCATGAAACAAGAGTTAAGTACTAAAATAAGACGTTTTGATCGAGAATCATGATACTTTAAAGTAACTTAGCTAAATGGACTCTGATATCTGTGAAATTTCAATGGACTTATTATGATATAATAAGGGCATAGGTAAATTTTGATGAACATAAGAGCATCTTTAAGGCTTAAACTAAGGATAAGGGTAAAAGGATCAAAATGCCCGTGCTATATTCGTAAGTTATTTTAAGGTCTAGATGAACTCTAAATAACTTAATGTTTTATTTGAGACATAAGATTTATTATCCATTATTGCAAAGTAACTGGGACATGTTGGGGACCGATACCAAGATTGAGGTACAAAATGACCATAATACCCCTACTATGTCTTTTAAGATATTTTATGATCTAAATGGACCCAAAATGACTTAAGATCATATACGAGACCTATTTTTAAGGATACAAAGAACTATGTAATGTTTTAAGAAAACTCGAGCAAGTTTAGGACCTAAATCGAAATTAGGTGGAAAAAACCAAAATACCTCTGCCATGATTTTATGATGTTTCTAAGGCCTAAATGGACTCCAAATGATATGAAATTTTATATAAGACTCATTTATGATATCATGAATGATTATGCATGATATCAAAGATATTAGAATATGTTCGGGGGTATAAGCCAAGCCTTAGAAGAAAATCACGAAACTACCCCTAATGACCCTTTTATAAGAATTCATGGTTTTTACGAAATTTAAATGATATGATATGTTACAAGATATTTATTGATAATGTTATGCATATGATTATGAAAATATTGTATGTTTATAACTCATACATGGGATTAAGGCTCACATGTTATGATTTAAGCCTTAGTTATGCCTCAAGTGTTAAGAAAGAATTCTTAAGAGTTAGAACCTAAGAACTTAAGATGACGCTCTAACGATAATAACCAAGTGAAGTGAGCTTGTCCCCAAAAAGCACAACTCAAGCCCTAAGCCTATCATGACGCTAAGACGGCTATGTATCACTTTACTCAAACTGACCTCATGCCCTAAGTCACCTTAGACCTCCCAACACGTGGTGCATCATGATCTTATGTTCGCCTCATCTAGGTGGGATGACCTGCCCATGTTTCTTATAGAACACCTTGCTCATGTTTCTTGCAAGTGTACCCTACCCATATTCTTGCCATATATCCTACCTATGTTTTCTTGTAGGATATCATGCTTCTTGTTTTCATGTTTTTCCTTACCTAAGTGAGATGCTCTACTGTTTTATACAGAACACTTGCCTATGTTTATGCAGGGTTACCCTCATAAAGGCACGAATCATATAAGTGAATGAACTTATGCATTGTGCATTGTGCATTGTGTATAGAGTAGAAGTGGATAACTTAATGGAACCTACTCTCCTTGAACCCGCCCAAAGGTGAGGGATTATATGAGTACATGGAGCTAGGATAGGACCTTCATATTATGTACATGAGTGGAAGTAGGTAGCCCAATGAGATCCACTCTACTTAAACCCCTTAGGGAAAAGGATCTCTACTTAAACCCCCCTAGGGAAAAGGATCATATAAGTATATAAGTCTATAACCATGGACTAAGAACTCAAGAATCCATAACCTCAAGACAAGGTCCTTAGAACAAAACTATGCTCATGAACTTCAGATCTTTGGACATGAACATGCTTAAGAACTTAGAGCCCAGAGGACATTCTTTGGACATGAACATGCTTATGAACTTTAGAGCCCCAAGACCAAGGTCCTCTCGCGACCAAGGTTCTTAAGGCAAGCACTAAGGCATGTCTCATGATCAGGATAAGAGTGTGGGTAAGAAGCCAAGAGCAATTCGGGAGCATCCACACAAATTCATCATTCCAAAATACATTCTTTAGCTTGAAAGAATGGCGATGAAAAGATTTCGTGAAGAAAGCAAGGCGTGATATGGTTTGGATTACCCCAACTTAGGTTATTGCTTCTGCGAAGAATCAATTTTCTCGCGAACTTGGGAAGGTTTAATGATA